CAGGAGTTGAAGGAACTGGAAGAGTTAGATGGTGACCATAATTATAATTAACTGAGCACTTACTACTTGTCAAACAACGTGCTGGTCTTTGAGCATTTTTCCTAATCTTCCACATTGGCCACGTTGGACAGACGGGAAAGCCGAGGTTGGCCCAGAGCCTCATAGTTAGTGGTGGCGCTGTGGTTCGAATTCAGGCCAGTCTCATCCTGTGGGCTCAGTGCTTGTCACAGCGCCCCACCATGGTGTCCCTGCGTTTCAACTTAAGGAGGGACTGCTTGATCTCCAAGAGTGGGTGGTAGGAAGCAGCACTTGAAAAACTCAGAAATACAAGTGCTCACGGAGGAGGGATCCCGAGTGACCCTTGCCACCTTCCAAAATAATGTATGCCGGGCATAACATTGTTTAGTACTCTCATCTGTTGAAAACTGTAAGAGCATATATGTATGTGTCGATACCCTTTGAAAAAATATTTAACCCTTCCTCGCAGACATACTTCTGACTGCTAGCCTATCATGAAGTTACACAAGTTTCCAAATTGCTTACCCATTCGTGCTAGCAACATCCCAAAGCTGCTCACGGTTCAGCTTCTCTATTTGAACCCTAACCTAACTCCTAACCCTTTAAGTTCATCACCAGGTTTAAACTCTGAGGCATCTTAAATGCATCTCACAGCCCTGTCCCACTGAGAGCATTCGTACCCTTCGGAGCATATCAGATTTCCCCCATACACCTCTTATTTTCCTATATGCCAGCCTTCATTGCCTTTTACAGCGCTCCCAGGCTCTCGCCTTCTCTTCTCCCAGTTGTCTCTTTTCATCCGGGCTTCCTCTCTTCCTCCGCTGGGGAACTTATCTTTAGGTCTTAGGGGTCTGTCCTCTCCCTCAGTTGCAGATGCTCTGTCCATACCGCCAGGGGCTGAGCACCATGGATGCCCTATGAGTAGCTTTAGCCAGAGCCGTCTCCTCTGCAGTTCTTCCTTAGGCTGAGAGGCGGCTGCACTGAATAAGAGCGGAAACCACATTTCCAGTCATATCCATGCTTCCCGCATTCCTGCTGTGTGCTGGGTAATTGCAGATCTAGGAGAAGCCCTGGGGCGTGCCAGGGTCTGAGAGCGGGGAAGACCAGGAAGATGGACTAGCAAAGGACAAGAAGCAGATAGTCGAGTGAGTGGGACTGATCCATTAGAGCAGGTGCACTGAGGAAGCCGAAGAGGGAGGGCTGACTTGCTGGAACACAGTCTCTGAGGGGTTAGGCGGGAGTGGGATCCAGTGAACCAACAGAGAGACTGGCCTGTTAGAGGAGCAGAGACAGTTTCTCCATTTTAACAGGAGGGGAGGCAGAGTGTGTGGGTACAAATGCAGTGGGATGGTAGATTTGATAGGGGAAGGGTGAAGAAACAGCAATAATTTCTAGAGGAAAAAGGCAGAAAGCAAGGCAACAGCAGACTAGGGCCCAAGGCCAACACGGCCGTGTCACTTTGGGCAGGTGTGCCAGAGAGCTGCGAGCCCACGTGTCGTCAGAAAAGAAAGCACGCCACAGACTGATCTGTGGATGCAGGGCCTGCAGGATGCTAATGAGAAATAAAAGCAGGAGAATGGCGGGCCAGGTTCACATGCTTCCCTCCCCCTCTGCTTCAGGCTACTGTACGTGACTGGAAAAATAAATTCCAACGAGAAAGAGTATTCTGGGAAGGCCAGAGATGGAGTCATTTTCTGAAAGCTGGAGAGCAGACGGTATTAAAGAGAGGAGACTTCTCTCTGAAGTATGCTCAGGAGAGGACTGCTCTGCAAGTGGGCGCAGGTCTGAGGGACTGCAGACTCAGAGGCGGGCCAGCAGGAGGGGGTCCTGGAGCAAATTTGGTGTGATGAATGAGGGAAGAGCTAGGCCACTGAGCCCCTGGGTCACGGCGCTGAGCGGGGGCGGCAGCAGCAGTTACCCTCAAGGCGAAGCATGAGGATGAGCGCCGAGGCACGTCCTCCGAGAGGGATCCTGTAGGGGCGCCTGGCTGGCTCGGTCGGCAGAACATGCAGCTCTTGGTCTTGGGGTCAGTGAGCTTGAGCCCCACATTGCGGGGTAGGGTTTACTTAAGAAATAAAGTGGCATTAAAAAAAATGATGACTGAAGATGAGTACCTGAAGTCCTGGGGGATTGTCAGACACCTTGATGATGTCAGAGTGTCTGAAAAGGAATTCTAAGGGAATGTCGGCTCAGTTCTACATCCCCAAAGCCATAGCAAGTTCCAGGATCTTCCACCGCCTTCTGTACTTGTAAGTTTTGGGATACATTCGTAAACTGTTCTTGCACGAGATATGCAGGGGGCAGAACAAAAGTGTCTCAAATTCCAGGTAGTGGGAATTTCTCAATAATGATACTTTTTAGAATTAGTCCTGTTCCACAAAAATGTCACGTCTTCTGTGCTTAAGATGAAAACATGACAATACAGACTCAGAGAGCCTCAGGAACTTCCCCAAGATTATCCACTGGTGAGTGACAAAGTCCAGACTCACACCCAGGCCTTGCAGAGCTGCGCTCTTAACCCCCAAGCTATCCTGCCCTCTGCCTGGCATCTAGCGCATGCCTATAAATTAGACATGGTTCCTGCCTGCAAGGAGCATTCAGTGTAAGAAATGGAGAGAAACAACTATAATAAAGTAACATGGGTGGGATGAGAAAGATTTGCTCAGTGCTCTGGAAAATGGCAAGAACCGTAGGAATCGGAGAATGTCACTGGGGCAGTCTTCGTGCCGGAGTGTCGGGCACCTGAGTGGAGGAGGTTTGGTCTGCACAGTTAACGGAGACATTAACAAAAGTAGGGAAGCACATGTTCTTGCTGGTTCTTTTCCTGTCCTCCTCCCTCTTCTTCCTTTACCTTTTCTGCACCTTCTCCCTTTCTGTCTTCTTCCAAATCCTGCTGCCCGGCTTCCCTTCCAGCATTGTGTACAGCGATATTTCCATTTACGGCACACATGGATGGTCACTGCAGCCAGTCGCCCACCCTCTGGTGACAAACAGCAAACACTGGGGCACAGTGCTGCGTAAGGGCCTCAGGAAGAGCCAGTGGGATGTGACGGTTGTGTTCCGTGAAAGGGAGAGCGACAGAGAAGGATGCCATCTGAAGGGTTGAATTTTGCCAGTGATACCAGGATTGAGAAAAGTAGAAAAGTCGTCGTCCTCCCCTTTCCCTCAGGCCCCATGTCTTTGCACACAGATTTATCATATGAAAATAGCACCCCATTCACAGCTTCGGATTAGTTCTGGGTCCCAGCAATATGGAAGTGAAGCTGAGGCAGCTTACATCTTTATGCAAACTATGAAGGCAGTAGGACTTAGAAAAGAATGATGGGATGGGTTTGGGGTAGGAGTGGGGAGCCTCGGACTATAACCCGCTACTCACTCTCCTCTTATTCAAAGATCATTTCTTTTAGCTTCACATAACCTCTTCTGGTGGGTCATTTTATAACTAATATCCTTTGTACCTGTAATTTAGCCTCTTTTATCTCTTCTCTTGGTGGGTGTACTAGGTGTGTTTCTTATCCAGCTAGCTTTATCAAAGATACGAAGTTGCTGAAGGGAACTTTGCTTTCCATAACAGCTAGGGAAAGCTTCATCTTTGCTTTCAATATTTAAAAGTGTGCCCGGTTTACGTTATGTACCAGTCTGGGTGCACGCTGTGGTTGAGCGGCAAGGGACAGCCCTGCGGCAGGGGGTGGAGGGCGAGGGGTGGAGGGGCCGTGGCTGGGACTGGAGACACAGAGGGAATGGCGGTGGTGGGGAGGGTGGGGCGGTGGTGTGCGCACGCTTGCCTCAGAAGGGGTCCACCTCTGACTGAGACCATGAGAGCATTTACATTTACTTGTTTGTATGCTTGGTTTGAGGGAAATTACGGTTTTCCTACGTTTTTGAGATACCCTCTATTAGTCTAGGGCCACAGAGTCAAATGAATCTGAGTTCAGGTTGTAACCCCACCTTGTACCAGCTTATGTGACCAGGTTATTCAAACTCTGAGACTCTTTCTTTATCTGCAGTAAAGTAAGGATAATACCGAAGATAAAAAAACCCCCAAAAACAAAAAAACCTCTCAGCTCCCTAACCCTCACGCTGATCATAGCGCATCTTCACCCTGAAGACCCGGAAGCTGCCAGGGCTGCTGCCGCCTCCGCTCTTGGTTTAGGTGTGAGGGAACAGAGCAGACAGAGACCTTCCCGTGAAAATCAGATTTGGCAATCCAGAGGTTGATTTGGTAACTACTAGTAGAGAATCCTGAAGGTGCATGCTAGCACTTTAGGTATTCGAGAAAGGAAAAAGAAGTAGTGAGGAAAACAGAACCATGGATTTTTAAAACTGAAGGAATTGGGAGTCATGGGGGCCAGCTGTCTCATTTTACAGATGGGTACATTGAGTCCCAGAGAGAGTAAGTGGTTTGTCCGAGAGTAAACATCTCATTATTGACAAAGCATATAACCCCGGTCTCCTCACGGTTATATTGTATATTGTTTCACAAATAGGGATTAGACAGAGGTTCAAGGAATCATTCCTGGACGTCGGATAGATGACCAGATAGCGAGAAGAGTCATCTTACTAAAGCCTGTCTCTGAGCATGGTACTCCCCATCGAATGAAGTAAACGGCATTCAGGTCCCTTGGGATCTGCCCCAGTCTACCCCTCCGGCCTTATCTCCTGTTACTTTTTCTACTTACTCTGTCCTTCAAACTGTTCCCCATTTCCTAATTCTCCATTTGTAGACAGTCTGTGGAAATCCTGCTCATGCTTGAAGGCACTGCTCAATGCTGCCCCTTCTCTGAAATCACCACTGCCCCACCAGGGACCCTGCTCTGTCGTCATTGCCATTTGTGTTTGTTATAGAACTTGTCACATTTGATTTTCCTTTAGAGTATTGCTCCTGCATTGCAAGAGGCAGAGGCTAACTTGTCCATTTTTTCTCTCTTCTGCAATACCTCATCTGTAATAGGCACCCATCTAATGTTTGTTGATCCAAATAGGTATTTTTATCTGCACCTTTCTGATTTCTAACCTTATTCCCCAGTTCCTGAATATGCTGGATGATTGGATGGAAAAGAGATTCAGGAAATGGTCTTCATGCTTCTCTGGCATGGCAAGTATCAAGGAAAGTGTGAAAGCGTGCATAACTACATTCTTCTAGGGGACAGTTTTAAAATTACCCATGCACCCAGATTGGAGTAAAAAAGAAGTTCTCTTTCTTCCTTCAGTGGGATGTCCCCATGCGTCTGCAGGTGGGAGTTGAAACCACTTGTGATTTGAGGGTACACCAGCTGGTAATCTGACTCCCATAAAAGCAAACTCTCAAAGGAGGAAGAGGAGGGGAAGGGAGTCCCAGAGTTTCAGATGTCCAGGGATTAGAAAGCTGAACGTGGAGGATGGGAAACGTCCACATGTTTCATGTGTTGAGCTGTGCACAAAAACATTATTTATACTGCTGGTTGATGACTGAAATATCTAAAGAGGCAGAGGAGATATATGACCTTACCTTGGGCTTTTAAAGGGGGCTGTTCTCCCTCACTCTGCTTTTTCTACAAAACCTTTCGAACGGCAAAATACTTCTCCCTTCGGCACAGAAAGCAGCCAAGCCAGTCTGACCAGCTTGAGGGAAACACCGAACAAAGCTGCCAACTCCAATCACATGAACACTAGTTACTAATTATCTTCTGGCCTCTGTGGGGAAAGATATAGCAGCTCACTGATTGGATCCTGAGGTTGAAATAACTCCACATCTCTCTGGACTCCAGCTGGAGGAGTAAGAAGAGTGTCTCGAGCACTTGGGGAGACATTTTCAGAAGGACAGATACAGCCTTAGGCTAACCTGCACCTGTCCACATTTCAGCCCCACCCAGGCCCATGGAAGGAGGAAGTAAAACGCGTGTCTTTATGCACACCGAACATGTGGGAGACCCAAGAAGTTAGAGAAGAAAGAGAAACGGAGAAGAAAGGGCACTGGGGCTCCAGCTGGGAGTATGAAGACCACAGGAGTCTACAGAAGAGGGACCTCACAGGGCTGGATCGACTTTACAGAGAAGGTGGCTTGGATTCCAGACACTGGACCTTGGGGCAGAATCGGCCCTATAGAAAAAGACATTGTGGATACTGGGCTTTTGAGCAGAGTGAACCAAGCTACTCGGACCATGAGGAAGAGGAAGAAAGTGGAAAGGACTGTATGAACTACAGAAGTATGGCTCAGGGTTGTGATGGTTACAAGAACTCAGAAAATGTGGGTTATGGGAATCCGAGCCCGGGGACTAAGGATAACCGACTTACAGGCAGCTCAGAAGGCTGGAAAGCTGGAGGGTATGGGGACATGAATGGCCACACGGATGGTCAGAATCTGAATTTTGATCCTGAGGACTCTAAAGAAACTGAATCGTGCACTCGCCACAGTGGTTTGGATGATTCTGTGGGGAATTGTGGTCAACCTGAAAAGTGGCACATGGACTACAGGAATTTTAATTATAATCTTGAGGATTGTAAAGAAGCTAATTTTTATTATAGAAACCGCAACAATTTATGTCACGTTCCTGGGAATTATACTAATGGTCAGTCTGTGGACTTCCCAGATTTGGATGGAGTCAGTGAAGGTAAAGAATTTGTCAAATACCATGAAGGGGACAGAAAGGTTTGTGAAAATGGTAAAATCTGTCCCAACGCAAAGACTCATGCCCTGGATCAGAGTGACTTTGACACAGAACATAAAGGCTACGATACTGTATTTGCCAACTGTGAGTATAAATTTCAGAATTACAGAGGGACAGATTCTGTCCATCAGATGAAGAATTGGGAGGATAATGGCATTGACAAAGCAGGAACCATGGCGCTTGGGAGCAGGGGCATCTTCCCGGATAGTCCGCAGAGTCAGTGGATGAGAGGGGGCCGGGGAGAAGATCACTGTGGCATTCTTCAGGGTCCTTCATTAGGGAAGAATACTTGGCAGTTTGAGGAAGACAAAAAAAGAAATGGCCTGGAGACTTGGAAAAGGAATAGTTGCTTCCGCCGCACGGCACCCAGCAGCCTGAGACGCTCAGAATTTGTGCAAAACAGGAAGAAAACTCAAGGTATGAACTCAGTCATCCTTTTGAGAAGGATAAAACCTGAAAATAGATAAAAGGGGTGGTTATACCAGTACTAGGAACACTCATGCATTTAAGGAAGCTGACCCTCGAAATTCTTATTTAAGTGTGGCTTGAATGAGAACAACCTTAGAGATTTAATCCCTCTGGGAGGCACTTTACAGAGCAAGACCTGTACAGTGCTATAAATATGCACCGTGGCCTCCAGAACGAGACCATGTTCTCATGGGAACTTTCTTTACCATTCTCGGTTTTGTCAGGCGTCTCTCATCCCAAATATCTTTCCATTTGTACTGTAATGTTTTGTTTTGTTTTGTTTTATGGGGATGGCAAGTTCATTATTGAGGCACCCAGAGAAAATTTACTTTCCTGGCATGTTCTTTCTCTCAATCCCTACACTTCTTTAGACATTAGGGAAAAGAAGATTTTAACTTGTTTTATAGAGTGTTCATGTCTTGACATTCAGGAATCTTAAGTGAATGGAAATCAGAAGATTATATTCTTCATGGTGCTTTATTCATGCACATGATGCTTTGTGTATTCAAATTACTTCATCTCATTTAGCCTTACCTAACTTATCTGTAACATGAGTATTAATTGAGTCTTTTATAATGTAGAGTTTCTTTCGTTCTTTCTTTCTTTCTTTGAGGTTATTTCTTTCTTGCCAGTTTGTCTTCTCCAGTTCTCTGAAATGAACTATGTTTTATTTTGTTGTTGTTTTATAATCTCTGGACTCCCTGTTAGACCTTTATTTTTATTATGTATATGCTATTCTCCTGCCAAGCCAACTTTCTGGTTTGGGCCAATTTGGGGGAGTGTAGGTGATGACCAGAGGATAGGGGTTAGAGTCAGAAAATGTAAATGATCTAGAAAGTCCATCTCACACCTTCCTCCAAAGTGGAAAGTCTCTCGTCTAGATCTTCAGAATAGGTTCACTGTTGTCGGGGACACAAGTCCCTGGTCTGTGATCCCAGAACGACCAGTGGTTTATCCTGTGGTTTTCCAACACAGGCTTGACTAAACCAGAATTTCCAGGGCATTGTTGCAGATGAATCAGGCTCTCCACCTGCATTTGTAAAGGTAAGAATGAAACCAAACCCGGTTTTAGTTGGGAGACCAGGTATTTAACAGCTAGCCACTTTTTTCTAGGTGCATTTTTTGTTCTAAGATGATAGGGAATGAATGACCTCTAAAGTCCTTCCAGCTCAAAACAACAAGAACAACAGCAACACACACACACAAGTGATTCTCTGATTCCTTATATTGCTTGTTTTCGTATTGCTCCTATTCCCTTTCCCCACATCTGTTCCTTAGATGAACTTTGTTTCCTATCATTAGTTCCTTATTGTATTAAGCCTCAAAGTGTGTTTACTCTGTCTGACTTAACAAGAGTCAAGCTCCGGAGTGGTGCAATTTGCCCTGTGACCTCTCTAACACCAGCTAAGTCCCACCTTCTGTCATTTCCAGTTTTATAACTCTCTCTCTTTATATTCGAGGACTGAAGTTTTGATGGTGCATTCGTATTTAGCTCAGTTGACACCCCTTTTTTGTACCTCTAGGATCCTCCTTGACCTGTAACAGAATCTTAGTCTGCCCGAAAACCCTTTTGCTTTCTACCATTCTTTGCTGCTGTCTTACTCACACACCACTGCCCTTCCCGAATGTTACAGTTACAGCATGTAATTCCAGAAAGAAGCAAGTGTTGGAGTCTGTCTTCTGCCCTGAGTTCACATCTCAGCCCCACCATTTACTATCGTGTAACTTTAGGTGAATTACCTAACCTCTCTGAGCTTTGGATTCCTTATTTATAAAGTGAAGATGATACTACCTGTGTCGGTGAGAGAACATAAATAAAGCACTTAATGACATGTCTGGAACATAGTAGGTGCTCATAAATTATGAGTTCTTTGTCTCTTGGTGATCCACCTCCCTTCCCCCTTATCATTTGCTCCACCAGCCTGTCACTGTGAGGTCCCCTTTCTCCTGAGATCCAGCTGGACCCCCCATGGGACATCTGCCCTCAGACCCTGTCTCTGCAGGTGTGATTATCCAGGGGGAGCACCCCGTCCCTCTTCTCCCACTCTCCCCCGCCTCCCCCTGCTCCTTCTGAGAAACAAAGCACTGTTTAATGGCTGCTCCAGTCTGTCTCTTGAGCTAGAAACCAGGCCCTTCTATCAGGATGTGTCCTTTCCCTCACCTGCCTTATCAGTCCTATGACGGCCTCAGTCTTCAGTGTGGCTAGGGCAGGTCTGTTACAGTTTTGCCCTTAGTCCTAGGGTGCGGCCCCTCTCCTAAGGTATGGCTCTTTTGAGGCTTCAGTGGAAAGCCAGAGTGTTTATTGAACCTCCTAAGTTGGAGGGACTCAAATTTCAGGCTGTGTCTTCTCAGCCCCAGACAGTTGTGAATATCTGCCAGGCTCTTGGGCCTCCAGCTGTTATTGCTTTCTGCTGGCTTCCTGGAGTCTCATCACCTGCAGACATAGTTCAAGGATTTGAGGGGAATTTATGCACAGATTTTGGGCTGCTGTCTCTGTGGCTCCCTCTTTTCCATTTCTCCCATAATATCTAGCCACTTCACAGCCCCAGATGTGAGCCTTTGACTCTTCAGCCCAAGAAAGTTGCCAGTTGTTGAGTTAACCATTTTTGCTTTATTTCCCCCACATCCTGGAAGACTAGGGATTGACTTCAGGGGATAAGAATTGGGTAAATATGGATCTTACCTAGTTTGCTTCCCTTGTTTTGAGTCTTATCCCCTCTAGTTTCGGCCTGCTTTTGGTTGCTTTCCAATGCCTTCACATAGTTACTTTGAAAAAAAAATGCCTTATTCAGAGTTGCTAGTAGTTCTCAGTAGGTAGGTTGGTACAATGTAATCTGCTCTCCCATTGCTAGACCAAAAGTCGGCATGAAGATTTTACGCTTGCTAATAACATAAGTGGTTATGATGGGGAGAGGACCTGGTGCTTCAAATTCCATGTTAACTGAGTTATGTGATATTAGGATATCAGAATGAAGGACTCTTACAGAGAGAAATAGGACACTGGAATTCAGGTGAGAATCAAGGCTTGGAGGTCCAGGGTTGGAGGGCTGCAGTAGAATCCCGTATCACTACACATCAGCAAGTCCCGTGTTTTATAAATAATGGGTAACCACCCACGACTGGGTCTTATAGTCTATTCGGTGGATTACAACTAGCATTTTTGAAAAATAAAATAGAAGTGAATAGAGAATGTCATAGCACATCTGATGTACTAAAAGTATGTATGTCATACTTCTACACACACGCTCACACACACACACACACGTATTATGTGTTATGTGTATGTTGAGTCACAGTATGAAGTGTGGGGGCCACAGTAAAAAAATGTTTGAAAAACACTTAAATCTGACCCACTGTTTTTGTAATCAAAGAGATGGAGCTCAGAGAAATTGAAATGTATGTCCAAAATCAATCCTTAGATCAGGAATTGAATCAAGGTCTCCCGATGCCCAGACCATCAGGGCTGAAGCCAGAAGCACAGCTCTGAGCTCCTTCCACACCAGTGAACTCAGAGAGCAGAAAAGTACTGTGTTAGGAGTGCCAGGGGAGCGACTTCAAATGGAGGGGGGCGTAGCTGAGTGACAGGCTGCGGCAGAGAAAGGGTGGGGGTGTGGACCAAGGAAAGACCTCGCATTTGGCGGGTGGGGTGAGGAAGAGGAACAACTGAGGCCAAGAGCACATTACAAGGAGTTTAGGAGAGAAGTGGTGATGAAAAGAGAGACACAATTCCTTTAAAGTTTGGACAATAATTGCAGTGGACCAACAGAGTCCAGGAAAATCTTGTTTTGTTTTCTCCCAAGATGAGAAAAAGTAGCGAAGACTTGAAGGCACTTTGCCAGTGTTACACACATAGTTTGGGGTTTAGCACTCTATGGGGCAAGGTTTCTTTTCATTCCAAGTGTGTGAATATGATATCTTTGTAGCTACAGTCTGGATTCAAATTATTGGAATAAAATGTCTGCCAGTCAATCTGAGACATGAGCTTTTCATCCTGGCTGATTTCCCTTTTTTTTTTAAAGATTTTATTTATTTATTTGACAGAGAGAGACATAGTGAGAGAGCGAACACAAGCAGGGGG